CTAATCTAAACAAACATTGATATTAAAATAAATATATAATAATAAATCCGTCACAATATGAAGAGCAGTTTTTCCATCATGATGAATAGCTACCAAACATATACTGTACCACCTCCTGTATGTTCTCTGTGGGAAAGATAGTCTTCCCTCATCTATTCTTTAGGTAAAAGACGAACACGAATCCTACCATAAGCTTTAAAAAGCTGAAAACAGGACTCACCAGAAAATATGACATGTCACCAGTGCCCTAACTGTAATTTAGCATGCTGTCTTGCCCAAGTAGCACGGTGACGGTGGTGAATTCTGGTTAATATCGGTTTGCAGATAGCCTTTCTTGCAAAATAACCTTGTTTGGTCAGTCTCCTATTCACTGTTTATTCTGGATACCATGGAATGAATGTGTTAATGCCATTCCTGTTGTACGGTGTTGCAATACTTCTTTCAATCTTGACGTGTTAGCCTGATCTGACAGTAATATTTCGGCATTTACCATAGACTTTCGTGGAACAACATATTCTGTATGCCGATGACGTTTCAGGATTCTGGATACATTATACTTGAGGTACCCTACTGTTCTGGCAATATCTGTTTGCTTCATACCATTTTTGGACAGTCGAGCAATTTAACGCCCTATAACTTCTGGTCCGTGATGAGGCATGACTCTATACCAGATATATAGAGAAATATTTTGAACATAACGTTGATCTGTTTCGAAAAAGATTATACCAAAAGCACACCCTCTGAAACAAAACAGATGTGTATGTGTGTGTGTTTTGACGAACAAATGCTCAAAACAACTTATACAGACAGAATAACAAACTTGTACATCTTTGTTCGGTCATACGCTACCTTCTCTGTTACTACTCGGGCATTTACTCAATAATTACGCCAAACATGTAGACAATAACATTAATGTAGAACAGTATGCAAGTATTTTGGTCAAGACTCTATATGTATATTTATATAGTAGTGCCTTTTTTTGTAACCTCACTGAAGCTACTAACGCAGCTCTAAGTTAGCACAAAATGTCTTCAATGGACGGGTAGGGGCTCAAACATCACTGGTTAGGGGAAATATCCAGCAAAGAGGCTGAAATTGGTATCAGAATGAAACACTAAGACTACCAAAGCTGAAGGTGAGTGCTCTTTAGAAATTGTTTAGCTATAATAAACAATAGTTTGTTCGACCGTAGAGAGGGGAACTGTATCATGGTCAATGTACAACATTTAAAGAAGGGCACGCTTTGGAACCAACGCAAGTGTGGGCTGCATTTCAGTTATTGATATTGGAGATCTACAAAAAATTGATGGCACCCCGACTGTTGAGAGGTATAACCAGATTCTTATTCTTCATGCGATTCCCGCAAGAACAGGACTTGTTGGGCAGGGATTCATCTTGCAGGAAGACAGTGACTTCAAGCATACATAAACTGTATTGAAATGATATACCTGGAGGGGGAAAGAAACCGATGGAACACTCTAAATAATTTCTTGACCTTTATAAGGTTCCAATACGAGTATTAATACAACTGTAAGTTGTAAGGAAACTGATAAGGTTAACCGGCAACCAAAAAACAAGTAAAAAATACTAGTGCATTTTACAACTTATTTGTTTTTCTCTTGCATATTCTGTAGTAATGAGCTTACTAATGGTAGATTGACTGTTTAGTTGTAATTACTCATTGTTTGTCTATCACCTGTGCGTTTCCATTATTACTTCCAATGCTGGATATATAGATCATGATATTATTTACATTGATAACAAACGTTTAAAACAAGTTTCTTTCTTTATAGCCAAAAATATCGCTAAAAGCGAAAGTACCAAACTGATGAAACAGTGCATTCTAATCGTCATCAGTAAGACAGTAAGAAAAGTATATTTAATTATATATACCTATTCCGAGTTGATTTTTAGTTTCGCTATAAGTAGGTAGCTTGCTCTGATCACAAATTAATACTAAGATTGTATTGGATTACGCAAGAAATGTAATTTTATTTTAGCTTTCAATAAACTGCTGTAATAATTTCCTGAAAAAATATTCCCCTATTTTGGAGCCCCTTACTAATCCATCAGACACACTTTTTTTTTCTCGTAACTTTAAGTAAAAATAAAAATATAAACAGTTCTTTTGAAATACTGAGCTTACTAAAACGAAGCCTTATAAATTAGTGGCTTAAGTGCGAAGAAATGTATGAAGAATCTAGAGCAAAAATATGATAGTGTTATTAAGATAAAATACATCCGTCCTTAACCTAAATGTGACACCTCTCAGTTATCTCAACTTTCTGAACTATTTATGGGACCGCCCCCCAGTGGCCCAGCGGTATGTCTGCGGACTTACAACGCTAGAATCCCGGTTGCGATACCCGTGGTGGGAAGAGCACAGATAGCCCATTGTGTAGCTTTGTGCTTAATTACAAACAAATTTACGGGATTTATGCGATTTTTCTTGATAGACCTTTGGAAGTAAAATCGGATGTTTGCTACAAGTAATTAAAACTAAATTCCAACACCATGCGTAAATTTTTAATGTTATATGATTATTAAAAATCAAATCGCTTTCTTAGCTTATTTGCAATGAGAAAGATGAACGATCGTCAAATTCTGGTTAAGGTCGGAAAACTTGTATTTTTGTGATTAATTACAATGTCAATAAAAAGTTAAGTACTTCTCATCTGTAAGCCATGTAAGTGTACTTCTGTAAACCATCTAAATGTACTTCCATTCAGGGTAGCATCAGTAAACCTCTAATTTAGATAACCTACTATTTATGAAACAAATGTATTGTAATTAATTTTGTTTTCTTAAAATAAATTAAAATAATATTGGATGAAAGCTCAGTATTACTGTGTCCAAATAACTCAGAAAATTAAGTAGCGATTAATTATTATATTTTTTGGTTTATCGGTAGATTATTAATTTTTAGGATGATGTGGTGCTTATAAGTTAAAGCTAAGACAATTTTCTGAATAAAAAAGATGAAAATATTTTTTTCATCTATTTCTATTTAATATAGACATTTGTCACCAGGTGCTTGTTTATTGGAGTAACAAGATCTACTATTAGATCTACTACAAGATCTACACATTAGTCATTAACGAGAACCTTTGATAGTATCTGGATTATGTGATCATGATTTTTCATCTGGTATATTAATGATAAAATATTGTAGAAGTTATGAGTTTTTGAAAATAAATAGAAATATGACGCTTTAGAAATACATTAAAGGTATAATCATAGCAAAATAATGTTGACGAAATTCTAAAGTTAGTTGTAAAAGGGCGACGTTAGTTTTATCAAAATATGTAAAATAAGAAAGTGTATCAACCTTTTACTTGGATAACAAAAAACTCTGTAATTATTAATTTGTCCTTAAACAAAGCATATGTATTCATCCCTTATTTCCCTACTTTCTTATGAGATAAAATCGTCTGGGAAATTAAAAAAACACCAGGGTTCCGTGTAGCTTTTATCAGAATAAGGCTGTACTTTTATGTCTTATTGAAAATATTATTATGTTCTCATTAGCAGTTGACGCAATATATTTAATTTGCTTCATGAGTGTCTCACTAGATGGCAATACAAGAAAATTATATATCAATGGCCTCAAAAAAAAAGAAAAAAAAAGAAGAAGAAAACTTCGTTGACAAAGGCCATTTTTCTGAATGTTGATTTTTCTTTTTAAGTTTAAATAATATTCTAACTCTGTTAAAATATATATACTTTATTAACTTATAAGATCTAATACTTGATACCCAATTGGTTATGACTTTACCCTGACCCTAGAATTGTCAATGGGGTCGGTGGAACCTACCCTATATATAAATATATATTTCTAAATTATTTATGCCACAATTGCATACGTTAGTTACAAAGCCCATAATAACATATATAATAACAAATACAAAATTGTAAACAAAAATATCATCGACATGACCATTAAATTCCACAAGTTATTGCTGGTGTCCGCTTTGTATTCTACATTGAAAACGAGTAAATTCACTTAATTTTCATTTCTCAGTTCTTTACGCTGAATATGATTCAATATGTGGACCCGATAGGAGGGATACAATAAAAAAAAAGTTAGTAATTTGAGGGTAAATCGAATTGTTTTAATGATAAGGTTCTAAATTGATCACCTACTATGAAGATATAAGACATGTCTATCCCACTGAATATTTAAAGTTCAAACCTAAATGCTTAGTCTACGTTCCACCAACGCTATTTACGTGTTTTATTAAAGAAATGAGTTTATCTAAAACAAAAGCAAAAATCGACGAATACAGTTGTGTACACAATCTCGTCATAAAGTTTAATATCAAAAGTATTTAATAATAATGTGTGTTTCGATTTTTGTTATATATTTTATACACGTCAGTTTTAAGGGTGTCAATGTTTTGCTTTGAGTTACCAAAATCACCTTAACTTAACATAGTTTGCCTATTTAATTATGACAAAAAAGTCACATGCTTACTTTAGTAGCACAGTTGTTTACCTGATTTCATTGTGGGACAGGTCCAAGATCTCTACATATTCGTTTTGATTTTTCTTATCTTCAACTGACAATTTCGAAATTTCTTGATGAGCTAGAGAAAGATAATAGTCATTCTGTGATCGGGATTTTAAGTCCGACGACTTAGTCATGATCTTCATATATAATGACTTACAAGTTTTGACATATTTCAAACCTTCTAACTCCTACAAGTTTCACAGACTTATGACATACTACACTACTCTGTTATCTAAATTACAAAATTATTCGCCACCATTGTCTTGTTTGATAAAAGTTACTGAGTATGTGCAATAAAATAGATAAATTTATCTGTAGAGTGGGAAAACTAACCAATCAGATATTAAAGCCGATATTAGTAGCAAATTATTTTTGAAAATTAAATAGTTTAGAGAAATATGATGAACTAGAATTAAATATAATTTTACTCTTATCAACTATGTAATTAGATTTCTTGTTTTACTTCATGTAAAATAATAATAAATGTAGATTTATTTCTAAATAAGACAAAAGTATTGACAAAGTTAATATCAGCTTGAACAGATGGGAGTAAAGTATACTTTTAACGACAAGTAATGATACAGGCTTTATCATTTGGATTTTACTTTAACGTGTGACCCAACAATGAAGATAAATATTACAATAGCTGCTCTTTTGTTACTCAACGATTGGTTTGATAACAATGTAGATGTTTAAATGTAATACACTATCGATAAGCTTGGGATATTAACCTTTTAAAATATATATTCATATATGTCCACAATGTATCATTATTTAGAAACTGGTTGTGGAGTAATTACGCAATATTTAAAACTATTAAAAAATAAAATAAAACTTGTGAAATTTCCAAAAATATCTTATAGTAATCTTAAATTACCGAATGACAGTCCGTTCCAGTTAGTTGGATTTATCAAGTATTTAAGTTTAAGGTCCATCGTTACCACAAACAATCCCATAAAATTGGTGATCAACAGTTACCTTAAGTCGTAATAATGCCTTCTTTTGTGACCAACAGTTACCTTAAGTCGTAATAATGCCTTCTTTTGTGACCAACAGTTACCTTAAGTCGTAATAATGCCTTTTTTTTGTGAACAACAGTTACATTAAATCTTTATATCTCCTCTTTTAGTGACAATAGGTGCATCGTATCTTGATATCTATTATTCTAGCAGCCAAAAGTTACCTCACATCTAATATTTCCTACTTTGGTGACCAACAGTTACCTTATATCTTGATATTTCCATTTTTGATAACCAACAGCTACTTAACGTGTTGGAATATTCTTGTCTAGGTACCAACAGTTACGTTACATATCGATGTTTCCTCTAATGGGGAATAACAGTTACCTACTATCTTGATATAACCCACTCTAGAGTCCAACAGTCACCTCATATCTTGATATTTCCATTTTTGATAACCAACAGCTACTTAACGTGTTGGAATATTCTTGTCTAGGTACCAACAGTTACGTTACATATCGATGTTTCCTCTAATGGGGAATAACAGTTACCTACTATCTTGATATAACCCACTCTAGACTCCAACAGTCACCTCATATCTTGATATTTTCTACTTTGATGCCTAATTCTTGATATATTTTCTTTAAATAGCCATCGGCTACCTCAGATGTTTATATTTCCTCCTTTGGTGACCAAGAGTTACCTTAAATCTCAATATTTCCCCAGTTGATGATCAGTAGTTGTCTTATGTTGTGATATCTCCTCGTTTGGTGACAAAAGGTTAATTTACATCTTGAAACCTTTACCTTTGGTGATCAATATTTGCCTTACGTTTTGGTATCTTCTATTTTAGTGTCTAAAAGTTATCTAACATCTTGACAACTATTATTCTAGTAATCAACAGCTACCTCACCTTTTGATATTTACTACTTTGATGACCAAACGTTACCTAATATCTTGATGTCTCCACCTTTGATGAGTAGCTATTACGTAATATTCTGATCTCCTCCTCTTGTAACCAACAGTTACGTAACATCTTTATATTTCCTCCTATAGTAACTAAAATTTATCTTAAATCCGTATAGATCCTCCTCTAGATAGTTCATGAACAGATGTTTATACTGTGACCAAATTGTATATTTAAGGACCAACCGAAGGAAGAAATTAGCCAATGAGAGCGTATTTGTATCAGATTACGGTACAATAACACTAGAAGTTAATTCATATCTTCATATATTTCTCTTTGGTGACCTGTAGTTACTTAACTTCTTGATATTTCCTTCTTTGGTGACCAATGGCTATCGAACATCTAGTTATTTCATCCTATAATAACCAATAGTTACCTACCTCTTGATATATTTTCTTCTGTTGACCACTAATTACCCCAGATCTTGATATTTCCTCTTTTGATGACTAACTATTCCTTAACATTTTGTTATATCATCCTTTTGTGACTAACAGTCACCTAACACCTTGATATCTCTTCCTTTGATAACCAACAATGATATCACGCCTTATGTTTCCATTTTTCTAATGCCAAACAGTTAGTTCACATCTTGTTATGTCTTTTTTTCGGTAATCACTAGTTGCCTAACTTCTAGATATCGCCTCCCCTAATGACCAACAGTTGACTAATATCTTGATATCCCCTTCCCTAATACCAACAGTTGCCTAATATCTTGATATTACCTCCCCTAATGACTAACAGTTGCCTAACATCTTGATATTATCTCCCCTAATGACCAACAGTTGCCTAACATCTTTATATCTCCTACTCTAGTGACCACTGGTTAAACGTTGTATCACATCTTGATATATCCTACTCTAGTGACCACTGGCTAAATGTTATATCACATCTTGATATATCTTACTCTAGTGACTACTGGCTAAACGTTATATCACATCTTGATATCTTCTAGTTTAGTGACCACTGGCTAAATGTTATATCACATCTTGATATTTCCTACTCTAGTGACCACTGGCTAAACGTTATATCACATCTTGATATCTTCTAGTCTAGTGACCACTGGCTAAATGTTATATCACATCTTGATATTTCCTACTCTAGTGACCACTGGCTAAACGTTATCTCACATCTTGATATCTCCTACTCTAGTGAGCACTGGCTAAATGTTATATCACATCTTGATATATCCTACTTTAGTGCCCACTGGCTAAATGTTATCTCACATCTTGATATCTCCTACTCTAGTGACCACTGGCTAAACGTTATATCACATCTTGATATATCCTACTCTAGTGACCACTGGCTAAATGTTATCTCACATCTTGATATATCCTACTCTAGTGACCACTGGCTAAACGTTATATCACATCTTGATATATCCTACTCTAGTGACCACTGGCTAAACGTTATATCACATCTTGATATCTCCTACTCTAGTGACCACTGGCTAAACGTTATCTCACATTTTGATATCTCGTACTCTATTGACCACTGGCTAAATGTTATATCACATCTTGATATCTCCTACTCTAGTGACCAACAACTGCTTCACACCTGAGAAAGCCTTCAACAAGATAGTGAAAAGCTTTTTAATCAAGCATATATTTTTATCTAGAGTTACATTCATAAGTTCTTCCTTATTTCTTAAAGTTTCCATGATATGAACCTAAAATAATTGTTAAGTTTTTTATGACTTGATAAATCCTTATTTGGTGATTAACAGTTACGTAAAATCTTAATATGTGCAGACAATTACCTTACATCTTGATTTGTCATGCTTTGTAGATTAACAGTTATATAACAACCAGATATATCTTTCTGTAGTAACCATCATTTCTCTGGTATCTTGTTATCTCCTCCTCTAGTGACCAGCAATTTCACCACATTTTTATATTCTTCTACTTTCGTTACAAACAGTTACTTAAACATCAAGTATGCTTGTAATAAGACATTAGTATTACCTTCGTTACATTTTTAACACCGCATTCTTTATACAGTCCGTTAGTGATTTTCAAAGATTAGAAGAGTGTATAATAATAGTATTCCAACCACACTACGTTCACCATATCCACTGCCGACGACGCGTTTTGCTTAATTCCAAACCCATCATGCCAGCTAGGACACAACAAGCACTAATGGTCGGAACACCATTTGTATAAGCTTTTGCTACAACAATAGTTTTATGGCATAAATGTCTTTTCCTAGCTCGCAAAGCATGATTAATATTAATTATACTTGGCATAAGACATTAGTATTAGGCCTATTATGTTTTTTAATTAATTAATAAAATTTACATAATTGTACTTGTCATAAGGCATTCATTCTTTATCTATTGGTTGGAATATAATGTTTATGTTATTTATATTAAATTTCACTAATACTAATTTGTATATAGGTTTTATGAAATTCAACACAATGGGTGTACAACAGCCAACGCATTTGTATTCTGTTTTGTTTGCCCGGAATGATGGTGTTGTTTTAACTTGTGATGCAGACATTCAAACAGAGGACTTGTTCTGTTTTTTAACAGCAGTTATATTTCACAGTGCAATGACGTCTTTTGTATAGTAACATTTGAAATATGTTTTTGTAGAAAGTTTATCTTGTTGCTTTAAAATTCATTTCGTACGTAATATCTTTCGGACTTAAGTATGAAATTCATCTAAAAACCCATTCCGTAAACTTTAGTAAACAAAATATCTGTGGATTAATGTCTGAATCTCTGCTGGGAATTTGGAAACGGAGCATTCCTCCTCGTATTCATAAGACAAAAAGGTAACAAAGATTTTGATGAATGTTCATTCGATTTTAAGAGTGAAATTCCAATGTAGAAGAACTTATTGAATCTTCTATTGTTATTGTTAAGATAACAACGTTATCTGAGTATGTTATCTTTTTGTGTATAAAAGTCCACAGGTAGAAATGAACAACTACTTCGTAGAAAAAAGCTATTCGAATGCGAACATTCTGTGTATTATACTACAATTTCTCTCATGTATGTGAGAGAGCACTTATTCATACACATACAATATGGGACAAACTTTGCTATACAGGTGGTATTATACGGTTGGTATTCGAGAAAATATTGCAAAGACAATTGAAGCCAATTTAATTGTTGTTTGTTTCAGAGCAATAATTGTAAATTAAACTATGTTCTAAATGAAACAACTGTGTAACCACTTTTGTCCCTCCTGTATATAATGGAACATTAATAAACTATTATCGCTGTTTAGCAGCATTAATGTGTTTATGGACTTTTTATCTTTCAGAAAATGTTTTC